CTGCATTCACATTTTCATAAAGATGGGCAAATTGTCAACAATTCGTAGCAAACTGATTTGAAAAGGAATCTTTAATTACAAAAAGTTTCATTTGGCTAGACATTGTCCTGAAGTTTTAAGCAACAAAATCATCAGATCATGTATGAAGGCAAAACACTGGCTCAAGGCCTAACTCAGGCAGCTAATAGCAACTTCACTCAACCTCTTTCCCAGTTCTTGCTGCTTTAAATCTAAAAATCACGCTTTCTATCCAGCTAATCAAAAACTTTCAAAATCTAACCCGGTATCTGGAACATATGTTGTTATATCCATCTCCTTCCTTTTCATTGAAACCAACCCCTCCATGATCAGCAGTGCTTCTGTAGTCCACCAATATTGCATTGTCTACAGGAGTCAGTTACAGCTCGAGCACTGCCCTTTGACACCCCTCAACTCTCATATAAATCTTGAATACTTCTCTTTGACCCTTTGGTTACAGCATCATTTGGTTTGAACTTATCCGCGGATACTGTTGGCAACTCAATACATCTTGAACCTTTATTTTTTGTGGTTGAGGACCAAGGACTTTTTGATGGACTGGATCAATTCCCACCATTACTCACCTCTTTACGCTCAACTCCATGAAGCCTTTTCATATGTAACATTTGAGAAAGTGTTAATTGATCTTCATAGTCGCCATCAGAAGAATTACCAGCATTATCACCTTTGCAAAAAGATCTAAAATGTTCTTCCACCGTCATTTTATCTTCAGCAGGAGAACACTTAGCTTCCACCATTTTGCTCTTCGGAGGTAAAGCAGGACAGATCAGAGAATTGCAAAGCTCCTTCTGAACTCCAAAATCAACTAATTCCTCAGTAAAAGGAGAACTGCTAGTGTTTTGTTTCTCTTTGATTTCTAAATCACAACCTGAGCTTTCTGAAATATTCGAATCTAAAGCAGGAGGAACTAAAGCACCCATAGCTCCTTTCCTTTTCGGACTTTGAGCTGAATACTGTAAAATTTCTCTATCTTCCCCCACAAAACTCTTTGCTTCCACCAGTTTGTTCTTGGGTGGAAAACCAGGAGGGAAAGGGGAAGTGTCAAGTTCTTGCTGGAGTCTAAAATCAACTACCGCCTTTGAAGTACTAGAAAGAGGGGAGGAAGAAGCAGAATTACCCTTTTCTTTGCTTTTGACTTCCAAAACAATAACTGAGCAGTCTGAACTGTCTGAATTGATATCAAGAGGAGAAGCAGCATTGATGGTTTTACTCTTTGCTTCCGAACACCCTACCAACCCAAGCAAACTCTTTGGAGGAGATTCTGGAAGAACTAAAGCACCATTTTTCTCCTTGTGATTTGCGGTGCGTTTATGACCAGTACTTAGGCCAGAAGATGAACTAATATCTTTCTGATTGTGTGTCAAAATCCGAGCTGAACTAGGCTTGATAGAGTAGGAACCAGGTTGAGTAGAATTCAATGATCTTGTTAGCTCTTTTGGTATCATTAGAAAACTCGAATAGCCTCTTTGCTCTTGAAAACTCAATACTGACTCTTTCCACCATTCCAAGTATCGGGTTGTAACATCTGCCTCAAAAAACCTAGGTGGAACATACAACCTCCCACCACCAACTGGCTTGCTATAATCACCCCAAGCAATCTCAGGACTCCAATTTGATCGAGTAACACAACTGGGAAGATCTTGATCCATTCCAAACTGCAATGCAACTCTATGTGGAAGGTATTGTTCTACAGTAGTAAGTCCAACAAGCGCTGAAACCCTCAAGCATCGAGCAAATGCCAACAGTTCATCATCAAGACATGAGTCAATTGATACCCACATTTCATCTTCTCCATAAAACTTGGGAAATTCCCAGTTTGTTATAGTCTTAGCATAAGGGCGCCAATCAAAACTTGCTTTGGCTGAGTCTAGAACTGACCTCACATTCTTGACTTCTCGCCTTAGCCCATGCCACCTAGCCAATCGTGGCTCACCATTTCTTATCGATTTTGGCTTCGGTCTCAACTCTGAGAACCTCTCCCATGTCCAAACTAGAACTAAGTGAAATGGCGAACAAAGAGTAATAATAGCTAATCTCTCATCTCTACTCTTCTCGTGAATTTGTAACTCTCTTGTGGCAACAATAGCTTCCTTTAAGCAACTTAAATCTCTATAGATATTAGCAAGAACGGCAGGTGCAAGTGCAATTCTAGTGCCTCTAGCAAGGTGAATGGCAATAGGAAAAACACTTTTTACAATTAAGTCTGAACTGGATGGGAAAACAAACCTTGATAGCCACAATACCAAAAATGCCTGATGCTCGATTTCACTGTCAGTACCGATAAATCTCTCCATCCATAGAGATTGCTCAGCCTTCCTAGTTGGAGTGTGATACAATTCAGTCCTTCCCCTTTGAAGCTTCTTCTCTATTTCCTTTAATTCCTCAGTTTCAAGAGCTGCAAAAACAGGGGAGCCTAAAACAGAGAAACCCCCCAAGATCATGACATCTTCTAGGGTGATTGTGGCCTCACCCCAAGGAAAGATGAAACTTTTGGTTTCACGAAACCATCTCTCAGCAACCCCGAAGATCAAATCATCATTTTTGGTTATCCCATACGTAGAGTTCATAATAGCTCCATATACACCAGCTTTCTTCCATGTGGACTCATGCAAAGAAGCCATCTTGTGGACCCATGTTCTCCATTTATTGTGTCGGGACCTCCATCCAATGAACTTAACCTCCAAACCACATTTTTTGGGGTCAAAAACAGCTGGAAAGGAAAATAGAGAAAGGGAATGGAGCTTAGAGAAAGGTCCGGTAATGGAGTTTGTGGAGGGTTTGATGAAATGGGCCTTTCTAACCGTGGGGTTTCCACCAGTTGGAGAAACCATAACTTCTTCTCTTACTTCAACAATGCTCTCTGATCCTCCCTCCATTGTTAGGGTTTCTTTGGTTTTTAGAGGGAAAGAATTGGAAGAGACAACTGAGTCAGCTGACAGAGAGCGCAAGAGAAAAGAGAAGGAAATGTCATCAATTCCTTTCCATTTTTGATGGTATAAGTTCGAAGCTCAATTCCTGTGAATGGGAGGACTGATATTACACAGAAAGGTGTACTGTTATTCAGCTAGTGTTCATTCCCTGACCGTTGATCTTTCCCTTATGATTGTGGTGCTAATTGGCGCTCAAAAAACTAATTCCAGTCATTTTTTTTTTTTTTGAAGTGAGTTTTAAAAATGTTTTGAAAAAATTATACATTTAAATTTTTCTAAAATTTATTTATAATTTAATTTTAAAAATAATTTTTAAATTTTCAATTAAAAACATTTTAAATTTGTGAACGATAATTGATAGTACTAGTACTTTTAAAGTAAATTATTTTTTATTTTTTTTTTGGATAATGATACGGAAGCCGATTTATGTGAAACGAAATTATGGGACCACTTACGTGGCTGCCACGTATACACACATCTAACCCCACTTTAAACAGTATATGGACCCTACTTTTTCTTGTGGACCTACTCTTTCCTTTTTTTTTTTTACTGTATTTAATATTGAGAGAGGGACTACTTCACAATTTGCATTAATTAAGCCGACGGCTGTCAAAAAAGTCAAAATTTTCAGTGATTTATTTGAGGTGGGGTCGGACATCTATATTACGTGGCAGCCACGTAACTGGTCCCATAATTTCGTTTCACATAAATCGGCCTCCGTATCATTATTCTTTTTTTTTATGAAGCAAATTACTTTGTACTTCTTATACTCTGGCAAACACTTTCATTGTGATTCGTAGCCCCGTTAAGGCCCAACGGACAATGGGTTTTCCTTCTCAGGCCTGTGAAGGCTCCACCCAAGCTAGCCAGGCCCATACCATTTACTGTGGCAAAAATGTAATTTTTTTGTATCTCTTGGGGCAAAACGGGAAGACTACCTTTCTTCTAACTGTTTATACCATCGGAAATCGGAAGCCTAACGCCATCTCTGCAAAAAAGTAGAACTTTGTAAATGTAAAAAGGTAAAGCTTTCTCCTTTCTCGAGTTTCTTTATCCTAATTTGTCTGCATCAAGAATTTCTTTATTTTTCTTATGTCTTTTGCTATTTGGGTTTTGAATTTCATCCCCTATATGTTGTCTGATATCTCTGCCTTTTTGTTGATGAAATTTGAAGTTGCATCCTTGTGATGATTAATATGTTTAGGGTTTGACTGAATGAGACTCGCAAGTCTCAATTGATGTTGAATTGGTCTGAAGGATGCAACTTAACTTGCATTAATGCTTTCTTGCTTTTTCTTTTTCTTTTTCTTTTTTTTTTCTAATGTCATTTATGCAGCTTTCCCACCTTTGATTCATGATCACTTTTAAATCTCTGCTTTTGCATCCCTATGTTGATGCAATTAATATGTATGTTAAAAGTAGTTTTTGACTCATTGAAGATAAATATGATTCTGAGGGATGCGATGCACACTCCTTCCCGGGTTTTTATCCATATAGGTATGATGTTATATTTTGATTTAAGTTTTTAACCTCTTTTTTCCTTGCAATGCCATTTCATCTTCCTCTGTGATGGGAATGAATGGTTTTGTAGCATATGCATTGATGATTATTAATGTCTATTCTTTTTGTGTTCCTTAATTTTTTTTATAACCTTTCTTTCTGTTGGAGTTCTCGTTGCCTTATGCCTAGGTATTTCGGCACCCTGTCACCTTTATGTGTGATTTGCATTTGTTGGAGTTAGATCCCAGATTGTGGGTTCCTTAGTAGCAATCAGCTAGCAAAATTTTGCAGTCTTTGTCTCGTCTTTGTCAGACTTTAGAAATAGAGATGATTTGTATCTACTTCCAGTAGCAACTAAAATGACTACATATCATTTTTTTTTCCACATTAAAAATCTTGGTGTCTTTGTTTTATTTTTAATTTTTGATTGTTTTAGAAATGAAAAAAAGATGTTTTGTACCTATCAGAAGTCATATTATTAAATTTTATGTTATTTAAATTCTCTATTTTTTATCAACTTATCTATATTATCTATATCAAATATGTTTATTATATTAGTTGCATTTGATTTTTTATTATATACTTACAGATTTCATAATTTTTTTGTGATAAATTTATTTTAAGTACATATCTAATGAAATTTTGTTTTACTATTATTATATTAATAAACAAATAATAACAAATTGATTATTTATTGTTTTACATATTTCTTATACACGTTTTCTTGTACAAATTATTGTAATTATTTGACTGTCTTTTGTACTTCGCATATGATTTTTTTTTATATTACTTTACTTTTGATTTTGTTATGTTATTGTAATTCAATTAGGTTTTTTAAAATTAAGCTTTTTAAAACCAAAATAAAAAAAAAATATTTTTTAAAGTTTTTGTAGACTTTTCTCTTGAATACTAACACTTAACTTAAAAAAACTGTACAATTTTTAAATAAAAGTCTTATCCAGAATTTGGAAACTTTGTCAGTTTTCTCTCTTTTTATCCTTTGTTTTAGTTTTCAATTTCTAAGTTTTTCTTAAAAAAAAAAAAGAAAATCAGTGATGCCATATGATACTCAAAGTTTCCAACTCTTTTGAGTTGAAAATGCAAGTTTCAAATGAGCTATAGAAACATATATCTATATGGAGTTGGGGTCAGTTACACCCAAGGAAAATATTGTAGGTGATGAGGATCTTGGATAACTTAGGTGGTTTTTTATTTTTGGTTTTGATTTTTAAAATTCAAAAAATTTAAATTTAAAATTTAAAACTAAAATTAAAAATTAAAATTGCCAAAACGTTTTGAGTATAAATTTTAAAACAAATGCCTAAAACACTAAAACTTAATTAATTTATAAAATTTCTTAGTTTTATTCTAGGGTTTCTAAAATTTAAAAACCAAAGCAAAAAACTTAAAACCATAACCATACTAGATAGAACCTTAGTAGTACTTTGGTAATTTACAAAGTTACTGTCCCATGATTGCTTTTGGGAGATTACTCTTTATGCAACATTGACATGTTTTTCAACCTCTTAATTTCTCCATCATATTTCTTTTTAACTGAACTTTATTTAGTCACGATTTCTAAATACATGATACAGAAAAATGTCAAACATGGAGGTACTATATGAGTATATGGTATATACACCCTTCCACATTTAAGTTTTTAATTAGCATGGTATATTAGTAGTTGATTCTATGGCGTTGAGACCTTAGTGAGGGTTATATCTCGATCTGTTACTTTGATTATTAGATCTTGGTTTACATTTTGCCTGGGATTTCTTCTAACATACTAGGTTCTTATTTGTTGATAGGGGAGGCATTCCATGTATCTTGTTGTTTGGTTGTACTAAAGGTAACAAAATCTACTTTTCATAATAGATTTGATCTCCAAAATTTTCTCTTGTACTTGTTAGTTTGATTACAATGTTTGAAATTAATTCACTTATCATGATGGATTTTCCAATACTACCAAGTTACTAAATACTAAAACAAAGAATATCAATTTCTTCTAGGACCTTAAAAACGTCATAAAGCTCCAACCGAATTAAGTGCATCATATTTCCAATGGGAACAAAATCCAATTGCATATTACATAGAACAGTCTATACATTGCCGTTCTTCACAGGCATTTTCTTTTTGTTCTTGATCAATCTCACAGGCATTTTATTGAACAATTGAAATACATGTTGCTGGTACAAACTTCAGTTCCAACATCTTTTAGCAGCAGGTAACAAAATTCACAACATTGAACCATGCTAACTCGGGCATATAAAACAAACTTTGCTGACCCATTTGCTCAGATTTTGCTGCTTAAGCTTGGCAATCAGTCTTGCAATTGAACCACTTTCCTAAAATCAGTCTTGCAATTCCTATCTCTTTCTTTTTCATTGGAACCAACAGTTCTAAGATCAACACTACAATTGTTGTTCACCATTTTATCCTCTGCAGGATTCTCAGTTACATCTTGAATACTTCCTTTGCTCTGAAGGAGGTGGTGAAGGCAGGGGAAGCATTGAATGAGAAGAGAGGAAGATGATGGGAAGGAGCAGGTCAAGAAAGGCTACACATGGTTACTGGATCAAAAATTTCATGGAGGAAGGCATTGAGTATGGACATGAAGCATTCTTATCACCCTGGTTTCCAAGATATGTTCTTTCTTCACTCACGGAGGAAGTGATTTAACAATTATGTATCTCGCATTGCTATTCGTTTGTCTTCCGGGACAAGAGTCCCTGCAGTTTTTGCAAGCCTCTAATGCACAACTCAACATTGTTGAAGGAACGAAAAATGTCTTCTTCGCTTGAGGCAATCACTGCTTCAGGGCCATTGCAAGTACAGCATTTGTGGGCATTCTGAGAGGTTTCCTTCTCTAGGACCACGTATGCCTAATGCACTTGGAGAGCCTAGAGCTGGAGATTTCATAAAAATCAATCTGCCTCTAGTTAGATCAGTGCTTAGATTGGCAGATAACTTAATGTTGAGAATTTACATATTCCCTCGAGTTACGAAGCTTTTGAAACCAAACTACTCATAGGGTAATATCATTCAGAAGGTTACATTAAACATTTTGTGACTGATACCAAAAAATTTTAAAAAAAAAAAAAGGCGCCAGCTATTACATACAAACACAAAACATTGGCACTACACGCATCAGGCAAAGGGGACTTAAAACAAGCCAACAAATCTAAGCATAAAACGTTGGCACAAAAATCATGTATCAAGCAATCGTCATGGATGCGTTTCCCCCATTGCCCACTTCCTTGCACAGTTACATTCAACTTTGCTGAGCTTTTCTACTACATAACAGCATTTCTAAACGAGTAAGTTATCTCCACTATAAGAATCAGAAGAATGTCTATCAGGCAAACTTGGCCTTTCAAAATCATCTTCATGCTTGCAAAATGACTTTAAATGCTCTATGATGGTCACATTATCATCTCCGACTAAACACCTTACTTTCACCGTTTTGCCCTTTGGTGGAAAACCAGGAGGAATTGGGGAACTGTCAAGTTCCTTTTTGACTCTAAAATCATCATGTAGCTCCTTCGTAGTCCTAGAAGGGGAGCTAGCAGAAGTAGAATTATCTTTTGCTTTCTTTTCAACATCCAAGATAAGAACTGAGTAGTCCGAACCATCTGAATCATCAATAACAACAGAAGAAGCAGCATTCATGGTGTTCTTCTTTCCTTGAGAACACTCTACTGATCCTGGTAAAATATTTGGAGGGAATTTGAGAGGACTTACTAAAGCCCCTTTTTCTTCCTTTCTCTCAGAACTATGAGCTGAACATTTCAAAAACTTCGAAGGAGGGCCAACGTGGTCAACTTTCTTGTTCCGTATCACATTGAGTTTATGGGCAATACTTAGAGCAGAAGATGCATTGATAACTTTATTCCTAGGGGTCAAAATCCAAACCGAAGTCTTCAATCTCTGGACAAAGGAGGAACCTGGTTGAATAGAACCATTTTTGGCTCTCTTAAGATTTTTTGGTATCATTACAAAACTTGAAACACTGTCTCCTTCCCATATTCCGCTAGACTTTTGGTGTAGTTTCAAAATTCCCAGAACCTCTATGCACATTAAGACACGATACTGATTCTTTCCACCATTCCTAGTACCGGATTGTGAATTTGTGATATCTGCCTCAAAAAACCTGGATGGAATATACGATCTCCCAACACCAACAGTCTTGCTATAATCACCCCAAGCAATCTCAAAACACCCATTTGATCGAGCAACACTACCCGGAAGATGTTGATCATGCCCAAATTGCATTGCTACTCTATGTGGCAAGTATTGCTGAATAGTAACAAACGCAACGAGCTCTGAAACCCTCAAGAATCGAATGGACAACAATTCATCATCAAGGCCTGAATGAACTGACACCCACATTTCCCTTTCTACATAAAACTTGTGAAATTTCCAGTGCTTTAAAGACTTAGCATATGGGCGCTAATCAAAACTTCCTTTTGCTGAGTCTAGTACCAACCTCACATTCTTGACTTCAGACCTTAGCCTACGCTATCAAGCCATTCTTGGCTCACCATTTCCCATCAAATTTGGCCCGTCCGCAACTCTAAAAACCTCTCCCATGTCCAAACTTGAAGCCATTGAAATGGTGGGCCAAGTGTAGGAGTAGCTAATATATGATCTCTATTCTTCCAACGAATTATTTGTTTTAAGCTACTCAAATCTCTGTAAACATTAGCGAGAACAGCAGGTGCAAGAGCAATTCTAGTGCCTCTAGCAACATGTATAGCAATAGGTAGGACACATTACAATTGTATTGAGAGTTTGAGACCGCAAGAGAAAACAAAACTTGATAGCCAAAATGCCAAAAATCCCTCGTGCTCGTTTTTGCTGTTAGTATTCATGAATTTCTTCATCCATAAACCTTGATTTGCCTTCTTTGATGGTCTCCTACGAAGTTCTGTGACTTCTATCCATGCCCTTACAAGTTTTCCCTCTTTGTCCTTCAAATCCTTTGTTTCAAGAGCAGAGAAAACAGGGGAGCCCAAAACAGAGTAAACCCCTAAGATCATTACATCTTCTAGTGTGATCGTGGCTTCACCCCACGGAAAGATGAAACTCTTGGTTTCCTTAAACCATCTCTCTGCAACTCCAAACAGCAAATCATCATTTCTAACTATTGTGTAGGTAGAATTCATGATGGCCTCAAAAATACCAGCTTTCCTCCATATCGACTCATGCAAAGAAGCCATCTTTTGATCCAAATTCCCCAATTCTTTTGTTGGTATTTCCAGCAGCTAAACCTGACCTGAAAAGCAACCGGGGAAGAGGAGAGACAGAGCAAGTGTACCTTCAGCTTGGACAAAGATCCAACAATGGAGTCCATTGAGGGATTGAGGAAATGAGCAGGTCTAAAGAGTTGGGACTCCACTAGTTGGGGAAACCATTGCTGCTTCTCTTACTTCAAAAATGTGCCCTGATGATGATCCCGCCATTGCTAAGGAGGTTAGGGTTATGGGTTTAGTTTTTTCTTCTACAAATGAAGTTGAAGAAACTTATTAGAGAAGGCCAACAACGATCGTGGCCAGTGGCAAGCTTACTGGCGCCGTACCTGGTTGGTGGCTTCGAGCCTAACTACTAACCTTAATTTGTTGCCCTTAAATATAGTTGTAATTTAATTTTTTTTGTGGGTGTTCTGTTATACAGTTGTCTTGTGACAAATTGTAAGATTAAGATTATCAAAATGAAAGAAATGAGGGTTCAACATTAGAAGGCTTGTTCTTTTATGGTCCTGTTCTTACCGTTCATCCTGTGACAAACTGCAAGACACTTTTTTTTTTTCTTATTAAGAAAAACCCTTATTGGGGGAGAACTTACCACATTTTGTGTCAGATTCCCGATTCCTTGTGGACGTGAGGAGGTGATACTCTACAAAAAGGTGTATTATTGTCCAATTTGTTTTCATCTTTAGCCCTACGATCTTTATGTGATCCGTGTGAATATTCAATCTTGACCACTACGAATGTAAGGTTCAGTGGGTCAAATGCATTATCATATTCAATTTCAGTTCATCCCATTTTTAGGAACTAATGTAGTAATGAAGTGAGAGTGGAAGAATGTGTTTAATTACATACCCTTTTAAAATGAGTGTGCCCCCACCAATCTTTAATTTTTTTAAAATAAAAATATTAGCTTGTTGATTAATTCTAATTTGTTAACTAATAAATATTAATAATCTTATTGATAATTAATTAATAATTATCATTGTCAATTATTTTATTAATCAAATTAAATAAAATCAATATTTATAGATGTTGTAAAAAATTTAATATATATAAAGATAGTATTTTATAATTTTTAGTCACCTTACACTAAGCTTTTAAAAATAGTTGTCTTTTTTATTGTTACATTTTCCTCTTGTACATTCCAATTACCTACAGGGGTTGATGTATCTCAATAACTTCAGAGATTACCAACTGAGATTATAATATATCGTTGTTGATTATTTAAAAGAGTTTTTTTATCTTTGTAATTTAAATTATATTAAATTATAAAAAAATTATTATATAAGAAATAACTTCTAATATTAAGAATCATATTACTTATTTAATAATTTATATTATACAATCTAATACACTCTAGACTCTCCAACGTTTGTTTGATTTAAAAATTGATACTAGAAACTATGGATAAACCTGAAAAAAAGATTCAGAAAATTGTAGGACCTATAATGGAACAAAAACAATTTTTGTTCCAAGGACCTAAGGCCCTATTTAGAGTAAAATTGTAGGACCTAAGGCCCAAGAGATCATGTGTTCTCCTTGTCAGGCCTAGCGTACCAGTTGCCTAACAAAACCACTGTGACGGCTCCATCAAAGCAGGCCAAGCCCATTCCATCTTACCGTGGCAAAAATGCAACTTTTTGTATCCCTTTGGGCAAAACGGGGAGACTACCTTCCTCCTTCCTCTTTATAACTTTTTTCTTGTTATAAAATGAAATTATTTAGTAAGAATAAACCCCTCAGTGCGGGTTTAATCAGTTTCAATGCATCCCATTCCAATATATAAAATAATAATATTATTATTATATACTATTTTTCTAAAAAAGTACCACTGATGGTAAAATGGACTAGAAGTAGAATATTTAATTAAGCATCAGCTCTTTCCTACTAGTATATAATTTTCATCCATCTTAATCTTGTAATGCTTGTAAACTTCTTTTCATGCCTTGAAATGAATAACAATGACATTTTAGGTAGTGGCAGACCAGCAGTAACCCCACCACAACCTTGTCCTTTTGCATGATGAATTTATGTACGTACCTAACATGGTCCCAGTTATTGCAAAAGTAGTCAAAGGACCAATGAACTTACTTTCACATGCAATTGAAATTGGTCGCAGTAGGAAAGTATGTAAAACAAAAAACAACGAATTTGGGAGTAGGAATGGCAACGGGCCCGTGGGGGCAGGGGTGCCTTCCAATTCCCATATCCGTGAATTGCGGGGATGAGGATTGC